ACATAAAGTTATATTTTTCTGAAACTACATTCGTTTTCTTTTTAATTTTCATTTTTATAAGATTTTGGGAATTTGTTTAGATTTTTTTATGGACTTTCATAACGAACGACCACCCCAACAAACACAACAAAGAAGAAATGAAGCTACAGCGAGCACTTAGAACAGCTCTGTGATTAGCACAAATATAGATGACGTATTTCCGCCATCTATTTTTGTCGTCTTCCGGGGCTTCCCTCGCCAGCTGACTAGATCTCACCGTGGCAAGTGTGTGTGTGTGTACAACTTTGAGGAGAAGGTAAATTTATGGAACGGGAATTGCTGAGACTGTTTATAAAAGATTAAAACAGGAAATTCATACCCAAAAAAAAAAAAAAAGAGATCTAGTCAACAGTTACTGGCGAGGGAAACCCAAGAGTCTTGGGGGAAACCCCCCGAAAGACGACAAAATAGATGGCGGAAATACATCAAGTATATTTGGGCCAATCACAGTGGTGTGCTACATGAAACTTCATGTAAAGAAGAGACCTAACCCTAGCCCTCTACATCTATTCTACTCTGTCTCATAGTGGATGCTCATTACGGAAGTCCTCCCGACTTAACCGACATTCCATTGGACTACATTACTGGATCTAGATACACGAAGCTACAGCGAGCACCTAGCACACCTCTTCTGTGATTGGCCCAAATATAGATGATGTATTTCTGCCATTTACTTTTGTCGTCTTCCGGGGCTTCCCTCGTCATTGACTAGATCTCACCGTAGCAGGCCCGTTTTGCCGCTTAGCTCGCGATGGGCTATGCCACTAGGTTTCATCGCCGACTGCTTGGGCTGTGTATGTGTGAGTGTGTGTGTGTGCGCTCTTGTGTGTGTGAGTGTGTACATGATGTTATTTTGTGTGTGTGTGTGCACGTGCTTGTGCGTACAACTTAGTCTAAGTCTTAGAGGCGAAGGTAGATTTATGGAATGAAAATTGCTGAGATTGATATAAAAAAACAACCAAATACATGAAATCTTGTCAACTGGCGAGGGACGCCCAGTAAAATTACAAAAATAGATGGCAGAAATACTTCATCTATATTTGGACAGAGGTGTGCTAGGCGCTCGCAGCAGCTTCAAGTAACACAAATTAATTTTTTTTAAAACAGACACTGCAAGAGTCTTAGGGAAATCCCGGAAGACGACAAAAATAGATGGCAAAAATACATCATCTATATTTGGGCCAATCGCAGAGGTATGCTAGATCTCGGTTCTCTTAGCTTCATGTTACCTAGATATGGATCTAAATAGAATTGGGAGATAGCCTGAACATAAATAGGCCTCCCTTCACTTTCATAGACAACTACAGACGTTGATCTTGTAGTTCCGTTCGTTAAAGTCCACAATCCATTTGTTTACATCCAGAGAAGAAATCCGTAAAGTCTTGACGACCAAATAATAGGCAACACAAAGAACAGGGACGCAGCAACCTAACGGCAAAACATCAAATTATGGTAAAATCAGGGGGGCCCCTGAAACCCTTGAACCCTCCCAAGCTTTTATTATGAACTCCCCCCCCCCCTACTCTTTGACTCGAGGGGCCCAAACCAGTGAATAATAATTGGGCTCTGGCGTTCAGCATTGGACTGTAACGAACTAAACCACAAAATCACTCTACAGACTACAGTTGAACTGAGTAAGTAAATTTATATAAACGAAGTGGCTTGCCCAGCTAGACTGCCAGTCTAGCCGTACTTAGATCTAGGTTTGGCCCTATCGACTCAAGCCTGTTAAGTACACAGGTCTCATTAGATCTAGATCTAGTAATTATTCAGGTTCAAATACATGCAAGTCAGTAAGGCACCTTTTGGTTTTGTACTTTAGGCATTGCAAACTAAAAAATTTCATTTACAGTTCAGCCATCAATATTAAGTACAGCTAGCCTGACAGTCTAGCCGTCCTTTAGTACGGCTAGCCTGGCTGTCTACCCGTACTTAAGTACGGCTAGACTGGCTAGACTGCCAGTCTAGCTGTACTTATCTTAGGCCCTATTAACATTAGAAAACAGGAGGTTTAAAATACATGCACTGTCATTAAGGCACCTGGTTTCGTCTCAAATACAAATACTTTTGGTACAGCACACTAAAATTTTATATTTACAATTCAGTAGGCCTATTTTTAAAAGGTAGCGTCAATTGCCACCGAGTGATGCGGTGGCAATTGACAAAAATTAACTAGAGTGAAGCGGTGTCAAGTCTGAAAACAACACTATCTTTAGCATTATACATAAATGTGTGTCTAATGGGTCAATCAATCTGTTCTCAATAATTTCATTGGACAAGCATCTAGTCTAGAGAGCCTACGGTACCAACTTGGCCTGTTTTCAATGAGACGCAGGCCTAGATCTTGGCTAGCCTTAGCCTACACTTTGGTGTAGAACCAACACAGGCAATTCTAGAAGTAGAAGGCTATTCTCACCCGCCCGGAAATTCTCGCAAGATCAACTCCTCCCCTCTTCTCTCTCTCTCTGTCTATTTCTGAATACTGTCTATCGGTGTGGACGATCAAATTGACCAAAACAAAGTTAAAAAATGATGTTAAAACACAAAAGTAAATTAATTTGGTTGTCTACAAAGATGCTACGGCTATTTAACTTTTCAAATCGAGCCGAACTACGCGGGTCGCCATTTTGTTTTGCCCGGAAATTCTCGCGCTACTCCTCTCTCTCTCTCCACTGCCCACAGACAAAATTGTACGCTTTTAGTAGGCTACAGTTGTAATGGAACGTTTGTTCACGGCACAGAAATCTACAATTTTTCTGTTATCACAGTGTAGAATTCTGTGGTTTAGGGTGAACGCGCACCGGGTGAGAATAGCCACAAGACTCGCCCACAAACTCAAGCAGAAATTCACGTTATATCGGGGAACATAAATCGGGGACGGGGGTCAGGAAAAAAAAACACACACACACAGAGGGACAGAAAGGCGAACGCACAACACCGAGCACTCGAGCACAATAAGCTAGATCTACCCACCAATGCAAAAGAGCTCCAATTTACTCGGTGGCAATTGACAAAAAGTCAATTTTTTGTCAATTGCCACCGCGTCACTCGGTGGCAATTGACACTACCAGTGTTGTTTTGAGACTTGACACCGCTTCACTCGGTGGCAACTGACTAAAAAAAGTCAATTTTTGTCAATTGCCACCGCGTCACTCGGTGGCAATTGACGCTACCCTTTAAAAAATGGTCAGTCTAGCCATCATATTTACAATAAATACTTAAGTACAGCTAGCCAACCAGTCTACCCGTCATTAAGTACGGCTAGCCTCTTATATAAATAAGGTAGATCTAGGGGCGCTTTTTCGGTAGTCCCCACCCCGCAATTTTATTCACGGGTTTGGGCCACAAGAGTAGGGGGGTTTCAGGGGCTAATAAAAATAGGAAGGGGGGTTTCAGGGTGGCATGCCCCCCTGAATTTTACCATAATTTAATGTTTTGCAGTTGTTAGGTTTGATATCTTAGCTCACCGCGAATCAAACGTATAGATCTAGATCTAGATGTAGGTCAGGCTCAAATAATGGGGGTGGGAACTACCGAAAAAGCACCGATCTAGGCTAGGGCCGAGGCTAGGCCTAGGGCTAGAATCTGGCCTCCCCACATATAGGGCCTAGTCTACTCATGGACTACCAAATCAATCTTTGTCAGTGGGGACCGCAGTCTTGGGAAGGGGAGCAAATCTACAAAAAAGATAAACCGCATTGATATGCGGACAAAAAATTGAATGAATGGGTCAAACGCATACACATTCATTGCAAGCTCACAGCCCAACACAAGAACCTGTGAAACATTGGAAAACAGGCGAAGTAGGAAGTCCTAGTCCATACCTCCGTGTCTTCAGACGGCGTTTTCAAACTTCCAAACTCAGTGGCAACATCGCAGACATTCATTGTCAGACTGTTCCCAAAAGGCTGAAACGGCGATGTGGTTACACCACTAGCCGCACCGATAGAAGAAGCTGAAGCAACCGAGACTCCGGAATGCCCTGTGTTGTGTGCAGAGCTAGCCGAGCTCTTTGCATGAGAGTGAGAGTAGAGGTTTCTCCGACCTTTAGATTTCTTGCTTTCTCTTCCACTCATTGCAAACATTACTGTACAATATATCACTGATCCTGGTGCATCCCTGAAAGGGCTACTGAGTTAGAATTCAAGAACAATAAAATGTAAGCCTCTAAAAACTTCTAATAAAACCGTACTCCGTTCATTACCAAAATGGCGGAAAGCAAGTATTTTACCCAGAATGCATTGGGGAATAGGTTGATAGGCATAACGAAGGGAAGCTATTCTCGTAATGCTGTTTGCCTTCTAAGCATCTATAAGCTATCTCCCTTAGGCCTGGATAACTTAATAATTCTGTGGGGTTTGCCGTGATCAAATATGAGATCCCTCCGATTGTGATGGAAAAATAACAGAAAAGCCAGTCAAACGCGCGCTGACGCGTGGAAATATAAATACAGGTATATCAAAAAGTATTATACAATTGTTAGTGGACTCACCTCGATACATCTTCAGGCTTAGACATGTAGCCTATTTAATAAGTTCTTCAGATTTTATGTTGACCAAACTTGCGGATAGGCCTAACTTATTGGTTGAACTGTCTATCCTTCTAGATGAAACTAGCTCAACTTACTGATACTGTGCTGAAGTGTTTATTTCATTATTTGTCCGATCTCTGTCTCTGCTCAAATAGAGCTCAGGTGTACACAGTATACAATATACAAGATAACCACTGGTTGTTAACCCGCCTAAAACTTCATTCAAGTGTACACACAATCTAAGCTTAATAAAAATGACTCCATCCCACAAAGGAAAGCGGTTTAGTTAAAGTAGAGAACGACGGGGTATGTGTGCTTAATCTACGCTTTGGTTTGATGCCGAGTGCAGAAAACCATCGTTACTTTGTCTCAGCCTTGAACCATGCAAGGTCAAAAGTCCAATAAATATATTCAGTTAGTGGGAACATAACCACTGCGACTTACTGGCCAAACCATTGAAATTGCATTCTCCCCAAAAGAAGGAGCGCCTTAATGGATATAGATATAGTCATAGTAAAAACAATTGTAGACACCCAGACCAACCAGACTGCTTTTCAAGTTTCTTTTGGGTATCCGTTTTTTTATGGAATATGTTTTATTCCTTCTTTTTTTTACATTTTATTATATTAAATGTTTTGTTTTGATATTAGTCGTCAGAAGTAACTTTTTTGTTTAAAAAAAACAAAAACAACAAAAACAAGCCAGGTGGGGCTGAAGCTGCAAGCCCCACTCCACTAGACGCCACTGCCTCCTACTCAGTCTAACCCTCTTACGCTCTCCCCTCCCACTCACACCCCGAAAATAAAGAGGGTAAAGAACAAAGTCATCATTGCAAGGAAGCGATTCTACTCATAAACGTTTTCAGTTGATACGTTTGACGAGACGGCCCATTCATCTAATCCAAAATCAGATTTTCAACAGAATAAAACTAGTATGTATATGGGCATACAAAAGAGGAATTACATGTAGTTTGCTGCATCCATTAAATAACACCACAGAACGATAATAGTTTCACATGTGCATTCGGTATTTATCATTTTTAGCTTTTCTTTGAAAGCGATTCTGGGCTGCTTTTTAAAAATAGCTTTTCCATTGTCGTCTTTATGTCACCATAGACTATCGCAGGCCACCTTTACCCCTGCCATCAACTTTTATTCACTACAAAGTAAAATTACAGGGAATAGTCGATCAC